CGCTGCGAGCCGAGCGCGGCGAGATGGAAAGGGGACGTGGGAATGAGTCTTGAGGGTCTAGGGGATGGGGGGCGGAGATTGCTTGTTGCTGGGAACGGCCCCTCCCTCCGGTCCCAGCGTCCCTGCCTGCTCTAGGCCGCCTCTCCGCGCGTGTTATTCACATCCCCGCGAGCCCTTTCGTCCCAGTCCGCGCCCTAACCTCCCTCCGCGCTGCCAGTCTTTCGCCCCTCCCCACAGACCTCGCTCCCAGTTTTCTGCCTCCAATCTTCACTCCCTGGTTTCTGTCTGTAATCTTCGCCTGCTCAACCCTACCCCGCCCCCGCCCTCTCGCTGCCCCCACCCTCTTTCTTCTGTCCCGACGCCTCTCCGTCACCGCCGGCTCGGAACCTTTGGAACCCATATCCGTGCCGCTATCTCCGCGTCTGGCCGTCCCACAGGTGTTCGCACGTCCGGCCATTCATCCGTCCGTCCCTCCTGGGGTCGGCGCTGACCATGCCCAGCGGCTGCTGCTGCCTACATCTCGTGTGCCTGTTGTGCATCCTGGGGGCACCCGGTCAGTCTGCTCGAGGTGAGGGGCGCACCCCCCGGGCCCTGGCTGCGGCCCTGTCCGGTCATCTCTTTTTTGCACGTTGTCCTCTGCCGGCCAGAGTTGGCACTGCAGCCGCTCAGACACACGGGGCTGGGGAGAACCAGGTCATCCTTTCGGAATGAGATGGGTCTGTGTACTGCCCTGGCCGGAGACACCCCATTATTGGAACCTCACATCCTCTCCCGAGTCCCGTGACCTGAACGTTGATCCTGGGCTCATCACTCTCACATCACTCTTTTGCAGCGGATGACTGCAGCTCCCACTGTGATCTGGCCCACGGCTGCTGTGCGCCTGACGGTTCCTGCAGGTAACGTGCACGTGCCTCATTTCCCAGCTCTCCTCCTCAGCCCTGTCAAGCCCCAGCACAGAGCGCCCTACTGTTAGCATCATTCCTTATAGCACACAGAGCAGATTGGTCAGGACCTCTCCACACCCACCCTACATAGTTTTCCTTTTCTTTGCCTCTCTTTTGCTTCTTCCACCTTATATGTCTCCTCATCTTTACTCTCCCAAATCGGATCCAGGGATTCGGAAAGATTAATCCTGAAGATACCAGGGCCTTACTATCCAAGTGTGGAAAAGACAGGGCGAGTGTTTTGGGGATGGGAGCCATGAGGAAACGATAATAGAAAATGAAGAGAAGAAATGGTTCAGCCTGGGAAAGAAAGATGCAGGGAAGGGTTCCTGGGGGAGAATCATTTAGAATGGAGGAGGATCTTTCTGGATGAATTGGACTAATTGACACCCTGGGGTATGGTTTGAGCATGTTTTGTAGTAGGAGGAAAGTGTGTCTGGACATAAGGCAATGAGCTGACAGGGCAGGTTGGTCAAGATGCTAAGTGTGTTTGGGAATCTTCATTCTTGGAGGGTCTTAAGAAATAGGTCAGAAGAAGGGAGAAAAAAGAAACAGGTGCTAGAGTGGAGGTAGGAAGAGAGGCTGATGGATCTTCCAAGGTCACTTAAAAATGTTTGTGCCTCAGACATGCCAGGAGTATTAGAGACATTTACGGACATCATCTTAAATTCCTTCTTATCACACCCTGTGAGTGGTGTATCCCATTTACAGATAAGAAAAACTGAGGCTCAGAAAGGTTAGATAGAGTGCAGCAGAATCAGGTCTTTACTGCTGGTATCTGAAGATTTGACTCTAATATGTGTCCCTGCTACAACCCTGCACCCAGCTGAGACAACTCCTTTACCTTGTTACTGGGTGCCACTGAGTTGATTTCAACTCATAGCAACCCCATGTGACAAAGCAGAACTACCCCATAGGGTTTCCTAAGCTGTGATCATTATGGGAGCTGATCACCAAGTTTTCCTCCCTCAAAGCTACTGGGTAGATTTGAATTATCAGCCTTTCAGTTAGCAGCTGAGTGCTTAACCATTGTGTCACTAGGGTTCTCCTTTCATTTGCTTTGCTCTGATTCATAATGAACCTATATAGGATATAATAGAATTGCCTTTTAGGGTTTCCTAAGGAGCCCTGGTAGAGTCCTGGTGTGGCACTGTGGGCTAATGCGGCAGTCTGCAAAGTTGTTTGAACTGCAAGGTTGGTGGTTCAAGTTCACCAGCTGCTCCTTGGAAACCCTATACAGGGTCACTATGGGTCAGAATTGACTTGATGACACTTGCCAACAACAAAGGAGCCCTGGTAGCCAACTGCAAGGTCAGTAGTTCAAATCTGCCATTCGCTCTGCAAAAGAAAGATGAAGCTTTCTGCTCCCTTAAAGATTTATAGCTTCAGAAACCCAATACAGTTTTTATGAGTCAAAACCAATTCAGTGGCACACAACCACTGTGCTATATATATGCCCTGTGTGAGTCCTGGTGTGATGTTGCAGGATGTGCTGGACTGCAAGGTCAGTGTCAGCTGCTAAGTCAGTTTGAGCTGCAAGATCAAACCCACCAGCTGCTCCTCGGAAACCCTATATAGGGTTGCTATGAGTTAAAACTGACTCAACAGAACCTAACAACACTACCCTATACAGTGTCGCTATGAGTCAGAACTGATTTGACGGCACTTAGCAACTACTATTTTTAGGAGTAGGTTTTTTTCTCCCATAGGGCTGCTGGATGGATTTGAGCCTCTCATCCTTTGGTTACCAAATGCTTAACCATTGTGTCTTAGCTCCTTCTGGTCTTTGCTGGTCCTGCTTCCTTCTTTTCCTTACATCTTCTGACCCGGATTTCTGACCCTGTTTCTCTCCTCAGGTGTGACCCGGGCTGGGAAGGTCTGCACTGTGAGCGTTGTGTGAGGATGCCTGGCTGCCAACACGGCGCCTGCCACCAGCCCTGGCAGTGCATCTGCCACAGTGGCTGGGCGGGCAAGTTCTGTGACAAAGGTAGGGGGACAAAGGGATAGCTGTTGGGCTGGAGAACATCTATCCATATTTATTGAGCACCAGTGGTATCCTCCTCAAAACCTCAAATACATGGCATTTTATCATGTATCCATTGTCTAAATTGATCCTTGACATAATAACCCCAAGAGCTTAGCAAGGCAGCTACTAAAATTTATACTTACTTCGCAGAATTACTTTGAGACAGATGGACAGAGCCAGGGCAAGGAACGTTTCCAACTCCAAATTTGGTGGGGATGTTTTTCCTCTTCAAAAACAAGTGTTGGTGTAGTGGATTTGCAATTCAAGCCACACCCACAGAGCCTGTGGTCTGAAAGCCCTGTAGAGTGGGGTCTGGGAGGTGTGGGTACAAGATGTGCAGGGCTAGTCCAGAGCCTTCCCTGTCTTCTCTCTAGATGAGCATGTGTGTACCACACAGTCCCCCTGCCGGAATGGAGGCCAGTGCGTGTATGATGGGGGTGGGGAGTACCACTGTGTGTGCCCCCCAGGCTTCCATGGGCGTGACTGTGAGCGCAAGGCCGGGCCCTGCGAGCAGGCAGGGTGAGTGCTGGGCCCAGGAGTGAACGGGAGGTTAGATCAGAATCTTGTGACATGGGATGAGGGATGAGACAGAGCTGTTGAGAGGATACTGGGGCTGAGAGTCAGAAGACCCTCATGGGGCACCCTAGGGAAAAAACCCTAGCATGTCAAAGTATCCAGGGTTTTTTGTTTTTAAAATACCTTCATAACCATTTCTTTCAAAAAACAAACCCCAGTAACTACAGGCAAATGTGTCACTGCTCTGCTTGGGGCAGATGGTTATGGAAGAGTTGAGGGGCTAAGACTCCCCTCATCTACCCACAAAAGCTGTCATGTAGCCCATAAAGATGTTCCACACAGATGTTTCCTCTGAAGAGGAAACGGGCAAGTAAGGGCTGGACTAGCTGCCCTCATATCACCTCTAGGCCTGGGAGTCTATGAGGATAACAGCACATTCATCCTGAGCTTTTAGGCCGGGTCCTATGCTGAGTGCTTTATATTATCTACTTTACCCTCACAACTTGATAAGCCAGTACTCTTATTCCCATTTTAAACAGGAAGCATTTGAGGCTCAGAGAAGTTGGCCCAAAGTGACATAGCTAGAAAGTGGGGAGGGGGATGGCAGAGTTCAAGATGCTGACTGAGGCAACCCGGCAGTGTCAGTAAGTTGATCTCTGTACCCTCTCCTACCCTCACCCCAGCTTCCCGTGCCGGAATGGCGGGCAGTGCCAGGACAACCAGGGATTTGCCCTGAACTTCACCTGCCGCTGCTTAGCAGGCTTCGTGGGTGCTCGCTGTCAGGTAAACGTTGATGACTGCCTGATGCGGCCTTGTGCAAATGGCGCCACCTGCCTTGATGGCATCAACCGCTTTTCCTGCCTCTGCCCCGAGGGCTTTGCTGGACGCTTCTGTACCGTCAACCTGGATGACTGTGCCAGCCGCCCATGCCAGAGAGGGGCCCGCTGTCGGGACCGTGTTCATGACTTCGACTGTCTCTGCCCCAGTGGATATGGCGGCAAGACTTGTGAGCTTGTCTTACCAGCCCCAGACCCTCCTACCATAGGGCCCACTTCAGCTGTGGTAGTGTCCGCCACAGGGCCAGTCCCTCACAGTGCAGGGGCTGGTCTGCTGAGGATCTCCGTGAAGGAGGTGGTGCGGAGGCAGGAAACGGGGCTAGCGGAGTCCAGCCTGGTGGCTGTGGTGGTGTTTGGAGCCCTCACTGCTGCCCTGGTCCTGGCCACTGGGTTGCTGACCCTGAGGGCCTGGCGTCGAGGTGTCCGCCCCCCTGGACCCTGCTGCTACCCGACTCCACACTATGCTCCAACACACCAGGATCAGGAGTGTCAAGTCAGCATGCTACCAGCTGGACTCCCCCTGCCGCCTGACCTGTCTTGTGAACCTGGAAAGACCACAGCACTGTGATGGAGGTAGGGGGCTCTCTGGCCCCCTTCTTCACTTCCTATATGCCTCAGACTGTAAAGGTTCTTCCTCAACACCCCTCACCTGGGATATAAACACTGAGGGACCTCAGCCTCACACCAGAAATATTATTTTTTTAATTCATAGAATGTAAGATGGAAATTTTATCAAATAAAACGATGAAAATGTAAATGGGCTTCTATTCCAGAAACACTTACGTGAAGTCCCAGATACAAGAGGCCTGGTTCTGGGGAAGTCTATGGATTCTGCCCACCTAGGAAGAGTGGCTTCCAGAGAGGAGTCCAGGGTGCCCTTTCCCCATCTGGGGCGATGAGAGGCAGAGGCTCAGGGAAGAACATAAATAAAGTGTCTACTGCCGCTATGCTGGCTCAGGCTGATGGAGAACCTTCAGGGAGAGGAACAGGTTCCTTGCTGGCTGCTGTGCACCAGCTGCTGGAACAGCGAGTGGGGCTGGTCACACAGGGCAGCAGGGGAGTCCAGCTCCATGACCCGCCCCGCCTGCAGCACCAGGACCCGGTCGGAGTTCATGATCGTGTTGAGCCTATGTGGAAGAAGGCAGTCAGGATGGGATGTGGGGGTAGTGTCCTCAAGGAGAATGCTTGCTTCTGAAAGCATAGTTCCCTCATAGAATGCTCTAAAGGCACCAAGACTAGACTCTAGGGACCCTTTATAGAGGCGAGGTCTAGAGAATGAGGAGCTGAGATTTGCAGGTATGGTAGAGAAGGGGAGTCTGGGTCCCTGAAAGGAGTGGTGTAGCTCCAAATCTACACCACCAGAGCCCCTGATTAGACTGTCACTGGACTCTTGCTCACCTGTGGGCAATGGTCAATACTGTCTTGCTGGCAAAGCGTTTGCGGATGGTCTGCTGGAGCAGTTGGTCTGTCTTCTGGTCTACACTTGCTGTGGCTTCATCAATACACAGGACCTAGAACAGGCGGAGGGGGTAGATGAGGAAGAGGGAGGGGAGGGTTAGCCTTGGTTCCTAGTCACGCACCCAGCCCACCTGACAGGCCCACACCTCCAGCTCTAAAAGGAAAAGGAAACCCAGGACTCTGAATCTTGTCTAGTTTGGTCCCTGAAACCTTTCCTAAGCTGACTTCCTCACTCCAACATGTCCTCTGCCTCCTTCCCAGCCTTCCCGAGTGTGCCTTCCTCTTGCCTTACCTTGGCATCTGTAAGGAGAGCCCGGGCCAGACACAGCAGTTGCCTCTGCCCCAGTGACAAGCTTCGGCCTCCCTCACTCAGCTTACTGTCCAGGCCACCTGCAGGGCAAAGCATCTTCACCCCGAAGTTCTAGGTCTCTCCCCATTGCTTTCCTGCTCACAGAACCCCTCCTCTTCTGGACCAACCCCCAGCCCAAACCTCACTCCTCCTGCCAACCTGCAGGGCAGAGCCTACCCTCACCTGTGGATTCCATCACCTCCCTCAGGTGGCATTGCTCCAGGACCTGCCATAGGGCCCTGTCCTCATGCAGGCCCTGGGGGTCCAGGTTTTCCCGAACAGTTCCACTGAATAAAAAGGGCTCCTGGGGGATAATGGCCAGCTGGGACCTGGGGGACAAGGCAGGGACAGGTCATGGGATCCAGAGTGGCAATGTGGGTACTCTGCTCCCAGTCTAAGTTTTAGATGCAAGGCTAGAGCCTCCAGCAAAGCTAGGAAAAAAGACCTGAACGTACCTCACTCTGCTTTCCACCCAACTCCACCAGATAGCCACGAACCTAAAATCTGCTGGAGCTACAGGTCACACCAAAGAAAGGTTGGGTCTAGACTATCTTTAAGAAGTGTTCATCTCACTGAGGTATTTAAAAAAGAATGGGCTACCATGTGTGGCGCTGACTCCAGAGATGGCAGTGGCCGGGCAAGGACTGCCAGCAAGACTAAGGAGTTAGAAGTGTTTCTGGGTTGAGCTGGGTCCTGGGGAACATTATATGGCAGACCACCACAGCTTCGAAGAGAAGGCAAGAAGAGGCATGAGCAGGGCCTGGGCACGGTATGTGCACAGGGCTTTGGATCAGTTTCCCTACCTTTCCTTATGTCATGAAATGCAGAGAAAATGATCCTTGGTTCACTTGGGGGTGGGAGGTATATAGCTTGACAAGGCCACTGTGGCCAGAAGCAGTTGGCCAAGGAGATCAGTGTCTTGGGACATGGTGTTGAGGCTCTTGGAGCCAGTAAAGGGTGTATTGGGTATATGTTGTTGTTGTTGCTAAGTGCCATCGAGTTGGTTCTGACCCATAGCGATCCAGTATAAGGCTTCCAAGGAGCTGCTGGTGTGCTTGAACCACCAACCTTGCGGTTCAAACCAACTTTGCAGTCCAGAGCATTAAAAGATGAAGCTGTGAAGGTAGGCCTGGGTCAGGTGGAGGAAGACCTTGAGACCTCACCTATGAATGAAGACCTGAGTACTAGGCTTCTATCCTCACCTGCTTGCCCTCTCACTCCCTGGTTAACCCTGGTGATCCTGAGTTAATGTGCTCCTCTACACACCAGCAGCTCTGGTTCCCCTCTTCCCGGCCCCATGCCTCCTCCCTCCTCGCCCAGACCTGAGATCAGCCAGCTCCAGCTGACTGGTGTCCACCCCATCCAGCAGCACTCGCCCCGCACTGGGCTCCAGTAGCCGAAAGAGCACCAACAACAGGGAGGACTTGCCGGAGCCTGTGCGGCCCACGATGCCCAGCTTCTCTCCAGGTTGCACACGGAAGGTCACCCCATCCAGGGCATTTGGCAGCCCTGGCCGGTACGCCAACACCACGTCCTGGAACTCCACACTCCCCTGGGTCAGCCAGCCGACACCCAGCTGGTGGGAGCCGTGGATGGGAAACGGAGGGATATAGGTGAGAAGGCGGAGGTCTGGTGGGGAGGAGGGAGGAGAGAATAGTAGGAAATGGACAGTGGCAAGGAGAGGTGGGGGAATGAGTGACAGAGCAGGAGAGATGGGGACAGTGAAGGATGGCAGAGGTCATGTGAGGAAGGTGAGGGGACGAGCCAGGAAAGGTACTGGGAGAGAGACAGGAACCCTTCAGGGTTTCAGAGTTCTGGTCTGGCAGGGGTGTAGACTCACCTGCAGCAGGTGGCCCTGGGGCTCCTGAGGTAGGTCACAAGAGTACTCCTCCAGCCGCTCCACACTCACCAGCATGGTTTCTGTCTGGGTGAAGCTGCTCACCAGGCCCGATAGCAGACCAGTCAGGGACAGGGCATAAGACAGCGACAGGCCCACCAGCCCTGGGGGAGAGGAGTACCAGCCGCTAGGGGAGGCTTGGATCCTGGAGTGTGTACATCTGTGTTCATAGGGCAGATGGATGGGCTGGTGGACAGTGGGATTTCAAGGAAGCCAGGAGAAGAACAGGAAGATGACAGAGGTAGTGGCTGGGGCCACAGGGACTAGAGTGGGCCAGGAATGATGGGTGGGCCAGATCTCTGAGATCCAGTTTCCTCAACTCTAAACGAGAATGAAGATGCTAAGTAATTACAACACCATCCTTACAAGAAGCCTTGGAGGAGATGAGAAGATGTGTGTGTGGGGTGGTCAGTGCAGGGAGGCGTTTGGGCTGAGGGAAGAGGAAGAGTCTGTGGGTACCTGGATTGGTGAAACCCTGCTGGTGCTGCACTAAGGCAATGCACGCGATGGCACTAACCACTGCGGCCCCCATGAGCTGTAGCCGGATGTCCAGCCACTGCATCGTGGCACTGGCGGCAAACTGGCACCTCTGGTTTAGCTCCAGGAGTTGCTGGTTCTTCTCCTCAAATCTGGGGAGACCAAAGAGGGGCGGAGGAGTGAAGTCATTCCAGTATTCCATGGGCCAACTGAGACTCCCCCTTATAGAGCATCTTATTGGGAGCCGATCTATTCACTCACAGGTCTCCCACAGGAATACAGGGATGCCAAAGTGCTCTTTTGTACTAGTAGAGTCTGCTCTGCCTCACTGTGCCTTTTTTCTAGTTTGTTCTCTGTACCACCTCCCTCTACCGAGTGCTCCCAAACCTTCCTTTCCCCTCAAAGTTCTCTATGTCCCCCACCGCCATGCTTTCACCTTCTCCCAGCACCCAGCTCTGGCTGGCAAAGGCAGACTGCACTCACCTGTTGGTAGCCCCAGCAGCCCGGAGCACGGGGAGGCCAGCCAAGGTGTCAGCCAGGTGGGTATAGAGTGGGGACAGGGTAAGGCTGCCCAGGCGCCGCAGTTCCCTGGAGGAGGCCCTGTAGTGGCGTTGCACACGGTAGTAGATGATGCCCAAAGGTGGCAGGAGCAGCAGCAGCCAGGGCAGGCCTGAGCTCAGCACAGCCAGGAGGCCCAACAGGCCCACTGCATTGGCCAGGAGGATGTTGAGGATGAAGGGCAGGCTGTCGTCCGTGCAGGCAATGTCAGAGGAGAAGCGGTTCAGGACCCGGCCCGTGGGTGTGGAATCGAAGAATGTCACTGGTGCCTATGAGAGGGGGTGTGGTTGGACAAAGGCAGCATCTGGCAGGACAGGGATTGGTGGGGAGCCTTGTGGGGGCCTGGGATGGGAAGAAAGGTCCAGGGCGGAGAACAGGGTTTGGGGGCAGAGGAGAGGAACCGGCAGTTTATTGTTGTTATGTTCCATCGAGTCCGTACCAACTCATAGTGACCCTATGTAAAATGGAACGAAACACTGCCTGGTCCTGTGCCAACTACATAATTGTTGCCACACTTGAGCCCACTGATGCTGCCACTTGGCCAATCCATCTCACTGGGGGGTCTTCCTCTTTTTCTCTGACCCTCCACCTTACCAAGCATGATATTCTTCCCCAGCAACTGCTCCTTCCTGATAATATGTCCGAAGTATGAGATGAAGTTTGGCCATCCTGGCCTCCAAGGAGCACTCTGGATGCACTTCTTCCAACACAGATCTGTGTGTTCTTTTGGCAACCCATGGCACTTTCAATAATCTCCTCCAACCCCATAACTCAAAAGCATCAATTCTTCTACAACACCATAACTCAAAAGCATCAATTCTTCTACGGTCTTCCTTATTCATTGTCCAACTTTCACATGCATATTAGGTTATTGAAAATACCAAGACTTGGGTTAGGCGCACCTTAGTCCTCAAGCTGACATCTTTGCTCTTCCAACACTTTAAAAAAGTCTTGTGCAACCAATGTTCATAGCCACACTATTTACAATAGCAAAAAGATGGACACAACCTAAGTGCCCATCAATGGAAGAATGGATAAACAAACTGTGGTACATACACACAATGGAATATTATGCTATCTTGAAGAACAACAAGGAAGCTGTAAGTTTATCACATAACATGGATGAACCTTGAGGACATTATGTTGAGTGAAATTAGTCAGTCGCAAAATGAGAAATACTACACAGGACCACTACTGTAAAGACTAAGAAAATGAACCCACAATAAAGGGGTGGAGGATTCATTGCTGGTTACCGGGATGTGAGGGGTAGAGGAAGGGGGGAGGGGGAAGGTGGAACACATGGTAGGTAGGTAATAGACACAGGATAGTTTGGGTGCTAGGGAGGGTGGCAATACACAGAAGGGGGAGGGGAATGGAAGAACAAGGTGGATGGGAAAACATTTAGGCAGGTTTGCATGGGCTAAGTGAGACAGAAGTTATAATGATGTATGCACAACCTTGGAACAACATGGCTCTGGGATACAGGGATTGAAACATGGTTGGAATGGGCAAAAGGGGGGAAATAATGTTAAGATGCTTAGCTATCTTTCGAATCATGGTTTCCATTGCATACCAAATAGACACTTGAGGGGGAGAGAAAGAAATATCACCATAGAGCTTGTAAGTCCGTCTTCTGCCTATAACCAACTGGAATACCTAAAATGGGCTACAACATGCCCAGAGAAGGAGGCTTCCTGCATAGCCTCTGCATTACATAAGACCATATGTAATGCAATCCTGAACCTCACCCAGAATCTTCTGAGGTGGAAAATTTCCACTTGAAAGGACAAGCAGACCAGCCTGGAGTGACTAGAAGAACAGAAGATTACTTCTTGAAAGAAAGACCGACAGAAAAAATACAAAACAATAACAGTAGTCCAACTGATTACTACATGAACAAGCAGGTTGCTTGGCCAGGAGTCATCAAGTCAAGTGGTCGGGTCCCCTCAGGGCAAACTCCCTTCTAAGACTAAGACTCAATGGGAATACACGAGCAGATATATGCTGTGATTGATGACCACGTTCTCCACCGACAAGGAGAAGTGAGGGAAAAACAGCAATGAAGCTGAGAGCTAAGCCCTACAATGTTCAATAGACTCCTTGAACCTGGGTGGAGACCTGGTTGGCCAGCAGTGTGGCAAGACCTGGGAACTCTTGGGCCCAGAGTCAGTGACATAGCCACAGAAGACTAGAGTGGAGAGTGAAGCATCCAGCTGATAAGAAGAGAGGGCATATGCATAAGAACACCCACACTTGCAGATAATACCCACTTGACCT